CCCTGAGACACCAGCTGTGCAGGGTGAAGGGAGCAGCCAACCCTGACTCATGAGCACCACTGGTGCTCCCATTCCTTCCTCCTCCTCCTCCTCCTCCTGCACTCTGGAGCAGTGTCCCCGTGTGTCCCTGTGGGTGCTGCAGTGGCCGCTGCTCCTTCGGTAAGGACATGCCTGCCCAGGGTTCCTGGGCTGCCAGGGAAGCACAGCTCAGGGGATGCCTAGAGCTATCCTGGGGAATTATCAAAAATGACCAAAAAAGTGACCAAAAGCCCGATTCTGCTGTGTGCCAGTCTCCTCATCTCCCAGATGGAATAAAGGAGCTCAAACTATCCCATCATTCTGTTGGCTGCCACCATGATGTGCAACACCTATGCAGACATGTCTAATAGACAAAAAAAAAGGTTTTTTTCTTTAATATCTGATTTTCCATCCCCAAAACCAAGCTGTATTTCTAGGCTTACTCACCTCACAACTCATATCTCTCTCCTGTGCTGCCCACCTCTACCTAAAGCTATGGAAAGACTGGATCCACAGAGTCATTCGTGGCTGAGCTGCTCTTCCAGAGCTGCCACTTTCCTTCCTTTTGGGCTGGAATTGGTGTTGGCTGAGGGTGAGATCTTTAGTGGAAACAGGTGTCAGATCATTGCATATGAATCTTCCAGTCAAGAAGCACTTTTTCTACCAAGTAAATGTTACATCCAGGGGTAATACAGCATTTCTTTGTATGCAGGAAAGGATTTCAGGGTACCTGGAACACACATACATGGTGGCTCCTACTACAGATTTATTTCCATCTCTTGCTACCTGAGAGAGACAACCTGTTTGAAATGTAGTTGTAAATATTCTGCTACATCTGAGCTAAGGGCCATGTAAAAATCCCTCCTGGCTGTTTAGCAGAAAAAGAAAAATCTGAAAAGATCTGAAGAAGTAAATGTAAAAGTAGTTGGTTCCAATCAGTTATGTTACAGTGAGTCAATCGGCCCCAGCATCTGCTTGCAGTAACCCTCAGGTAAGTAAAAACTAGTAATAAGCTAGGATAATTAACACTGAAAGAGATCAGGAAAAAATAAGCTGTTCTCTTTCCTTTGGCACGTTGCTTTGTGCCTTGGACAATGGCTGATCCACGCTTGGGCAAAAATGTGCTCTTGAAAAGCTGGTCACTGTTGGTCTCCCAGGCCGTGACAGGAGGAAGGAGAACATTTACAAACAGGAGACTGCACTCTAAAACCCACAAAACCTAAGTGTGCTGTGTACAGATACTTCAGTAGCACTGGAGAGTGAATCACACCCAAAATACTTCCGTTGACATGCTCACTTGCTGCTTTGTGCTGACAAAATGCAGTTTGTGTGTGGATATACGTGCTTTTCCCTCAAACCTGCCATTATGCACTAAAGAGCTTGACCCTCCTCTTTCATCCCATATGAATCCCAGTTGAGTGCTTGCCATAATCTTGCCATGTGCACTTGCCCAAGTTCTTTCAGCAAGCCAGCAGCAATACCCAGTAAGGCAAAGAAACGAGTTAGGGATGGCCAGGTGTTTCTGTGATCAGATTAAAGCAGCCAAACAGTTCTGCTCTCAGTTTCCCTTTCTTGTTTTCTTTAGCTGTGATTAAACTCCCTGTTAAGAGGCAAAACCTGCCAGCTAAGTTCTCTTCCAGAGGAAAGGGGCAGGGTTCAGGTAACTGCTGCCCTCGGGGCTGGTTCACCAGCAGCCTCAGGTGAGGCAAGATCTCCAACACAGGCCCTGTGTGAACAGATGTGTGAACATCTGTTGGGCAAGGGGCAGTGACTGGCACAGCACAGCACCCATGGGCCAGTTTTGGCAACTGCAACTCAAACCAGCAGCTCAGAAAATCATAAAAAATATTGAATTGTGAAGCTGCAGTGTGCAGAGTTCTCCCTCATCCCGAATCACTGTGTTCATTAAGCCTCTGCCCGTCCTCTGCTCTCCCAGACCCCACTAGCATGGCTCTGCATGGCTCATGCTGGCTGCCAGGCAGAGCCCAAGCTCCTGTTCCAGCTTTCCTGCTGCCCCACTTGCAGGAACCTCTGCATTTCCATGCTACTTAATACATTATAGCACACCCACAGTCAACAAATAAAATTAATAAATAATTCAAGCCTTGTAAGAAATAAAATGTTAGACCGTTAAACCCCACCAGTATTTACATTTGGATTACTCCATGGGCTTGTCTCTAACATGAGCACTACTTCATTACCAGAGGAACAAACAGGCCTCACCTTGTGTGAGCAGCTCCATCCCCAGCCAGTGCCTGGCTCTGCCCCAACAGCCTCCGAGCTCATCTCTGAATTTGAACATGTCAGCTGCGCCAGCTTTTTATTTTTTTATTTATTCTCCATTAGGAGTTACTCTGTGCTCTTGTTCAGGGACAAATCAACCTTTCTCCACCTACCTATGGAACTGCAGGCAGCTGCTGTGCTGAAACAGGACACCCACATTCCTGTGCTGGTCTCTGCCCCCAGGCAGCATCGTGTCAGCCTGGCAGACCTTGTCTGTGCACAGGTGACACCCTGTGAGCGCTGCTGTGGGCAGCAAACCCCCCCTGGAGCAGCCACCCGGGGCCTCATGGCAGCCTCTGTGCCCAGCCCCTGCCCAGTGGGTGCCCCTGTCTCTCCAAGATGGTGAGGAGCTACCAGAGGCACCAGAGGAGGCCCCTGAGTGCAGGATTGTATCCATGACAGTGGTTTGCTGGCCTTTTGACCATATCACCACAAACCACCTTAGTACCAGTTGACCCAAGATCTCCTTTCAACAGCTCAAAGATCTGTACCTGTTCTTGCTGCTTTCAGAACCTTCAGCTATGTACTTGGTGAACACCTGGTTGTAGCTGGCCTGGACGCACCTGGTGCACAAAAAGCTCACTTGTGATCACACACAGTTTGTTTTCCATCTACAAGGGCAACAACAAACCCAGCTTTAACATCTCTTCTCACCTTTGTCAAGCCTCAGCCACTAAGCTTCAGATAACTATTGCTTGTTTCTTACTCCCTTCCTCTGCTTCCCTAAGATTAAAGGTGGCAAGCTGTTGGAACGGCAGGAGTTTAGAGGAGGGTGATGCCATTCCAGCTGCTGGTTTTGTTGCCAGGTTAGGTCATCCCAAAGATCTCAGCCCTAGCAGAGCTGAAGTGCATAAACTGAAATACTGTTGCATCACCCAAGGTTGCCATCCAGCAGGTATTGTTTCTTCCCTTTAAAAGCCTTGATGGATAGAGACAGGTAGATCTCCAAAGGTACCTAATAGTTCCTTAAGACGTGTGGTGGGAAGTAGGCTCACAAATGCTCTCACACACACGGTCTTGGTGTGCCAGGAGCAAGCCTTGGTGTCTCCGGCCCTTACGCCTCCTTTCCCAGCTCCATCTGCCCCAGATCACTAAAAACGTCCAGAACTCTGGTTTGAAAGTGATTTCCAAAGAGGAGCAGGTCAGGGGGTGTCTACCTAAAAACTGAGGTTGATAAAAGCAGAACTAAGTGCAAGGAGACTGACTCATACTTATTTACATTTTCGACAGAAAGCTCTGCAAATCATGCACATTTTGACTTCTCAAACCTCATATGCACTGTCTTCTGTGCCAGAGTAATCCTCCTTTTAGAAAAATGGTATTCTGTACCGTACTGCAAGCCAGAGTAGGACATTTGCCTTCCCTGACCCTTTCAGGGTTTGCTCTGCTGTCCTTCATAAAGCAGCAGGAAGAGCTGGCTGCTCCGTCACTGTATTCTCTGAAACAGTCACTGCATCGGCCTCGCAGAAGTGGCAGACATTGTTCCAAAGACTTGATTTGCTTCATTTTGGCATTTCCACAGTCATCCTTTACAAATAATTTATATCTCTTTTTAAATTTAAAATTATTATTTTGTATTTTGCTGGTCACTTCCATATTGCTTCATTCAAAATCCAGAAAACAGTTCAAATAAAATCAGAGGTTAAGTGCAAACTAACTTTCCAGTGAACCACTATGTGCATTTTTTTCCAGTCCAGTGTCTGTCTTCCAGTTTAAAGGACCCTTCCCACCCCACCCCACAGAACATCAAACTCTTCAGTTCTTTGTCTTGTCCTCAGTGTTGCCTGACAGCATCCCCAGCTCCCTTCATGACCATGAAGAAGAAAAAGAGGGAAGAATTAGTGACAATCTTTTGAAGTGTTTACAGTCAGCAGGTAAAAAACAGGAAAGCAAAGCTTTTGGCATACAAATCTTCATTTCTTGGCCTGTTTTTTAGCTTCAAAAGGAACATATTGGAGGTGTGGTTTTGTTGCTCTCTTCTGAAAGGTATTTTGCGTTTAAAGTGTTTGTTCTGTTGGCACACATACAAAAATGGTCATGTCAGGTACCAGTTCTGAGTAGGAGTCTCTGTGGCTGGGAATTGGCACAAAATCATGGTGTGGCTCAGAATAAGGGTTTAGTATGTGGGAGTCACATTATCATTTCTTGGAAAGCCACAATGAAGATCTGAATGTTTTTGAAAAGCTATGTTAGCCATTTTCAGTTGCTGGGATAGAAAGTGTTAGAGAAAGAAATTGGATTCTCAATCTCAATTACTACGCTATCACACGGGATATAAAAATTGTCCATTTTTCACCCTGATGGAAATTGCATGGAGATTTCCAGGAATGCTGTACAGACTCTCATCAGTTCCTGCTGAAAGAATCAGCCTTCCTGTGGCTTTCCCTACAGTGTCTGGTTGAATCACTGAGAACGAGCTCCACAGCAGCACTGCCACTGGCCTCTCCTGCTACCACCTGGCTCCTCTGGGCGTCTGCTGAAAGTGGGAAAGGCCAGGTCGTACAAAAATCCTTCTTTCAGTCTCTTTCCTTCCTTCCTTCCAGGTGCCCAACCCAATCTGCAACCAACTCCAAGACATTCTTCCACTTAGAAATATCAAAAATGAGTGAACTGGCAAGAAAAGGAAGCTCATGGGAGAAAGAGAGGGTGGGAGGGAGGGAGGGAAGAAAGATGGGAAGAAAGACGGGCAAGGGCAGGGAGGAAGGGGGAGCGAGAGAGCACGAGTGAGGCAGCTAGAAGGGGTTGCCTTTCCACTTCAGTGAGAGCACAGCCACTACACCACGGTATTCCGGTGTCTGTAGGGCGGCGGGGGAAGCACAGTGCCAGGCTTCAGGGAGAACTCGGAGAGGTATTCAGGATTCTCTGCCACTATGGGCCGGATCCGTCCATTCTGTTTGTAAAAGTATTTTGTGCTGTACTCTTGCAGGTAGTCCGGGTGCTGGAGGGTGCTCCGTGGGGGCAGGCTGTGGTTCCAGTAGTCTGGGTTGTCAAAGGCCTTCTTGGCTTTCTCTGGCAAATTGTTCTTCAGGTACTCTGCGTTTTCCAAGGTGTTGGCGAAGGTGTTGAGGTACAAGGGCTCGTTCACGTACTCATCCTCGGCTTTGGGCTGCCCGTTGGGAGCGTTGTGGTACTCTGGGTTGTCCACAGCTTGGAGATCTCCGTTCTTTCGTCGGGAAACAAAGGGGTTCTCTTCCACTGGGTTTAGGTAATCTAAAGAAAGATGAAAAATACGTCAGCCAGGAGCAGTAGTAATCCATCCATGTAGCATCCGTGACCAGAAGCAGCCCTTGGACTAGAGCAGCCTCCACCTCAGCCATTCCAAGAGCTCCAGATGGGATCAGGAGCCAGCTGTGCTGAACACACACCAGTGAAAAATGAAGTGTTTACAAGCTAAACAGACAATATGGGTTAAAACAGATACCTCTGAAGACTGACTGATCAAACACACTGGCCAGCTAAACTACAGCTCTTGCTGAGCCATAGCCCATGTAGCTCCCCTGCTCTCCCTCCTCTCATGGTGTGATCTACAGACCCAAACACACCCACTGACTTCTGCCTCTGCCACCTCGGACCTATTAGCAAACCTTCTGCTCTGTAGTCCTTCCATCCAGAAAACTCTACAGGAATCTCACTGAAGCCTCTCTGCACAAAGCCTATCCCCAAGGACTGACTTTTAAGACAGCTTCATTTCTAACAGAGCAATTTGCCTGATTAAAAACCTTCCATCCCTGAAGGACAAAGGGCTTTTGTCCAAGCATTATGAGAAAAAAGTTATACAAATGAGCCCTGGAAAGGGAACAAGAGAGCCTTAGATCAGCTGCAGAATGGGACTTGGAGCAGGTTAGAGTTGCCTCAGATTACTTGCTGTGGATTAACACCCCTTTTCCAGAGGCAGGGCGCTGCTCAAGGGCTCTGCACACACCTCCCCAGAGAGTCCTGCTGCAAGGGATCATCTGCTTTCATCCAGAATGGGGCCAAAACTATTAAAGGCAAAAATTTGGGTCCCAGTGAACACCTTTGAACTGTCACTGGATATGAGCTGAACAGTGGGAACATTTTTTCCCATTTTGCAGTGCTTTGATTTGAACCCCGCAGCTGTGTGGCCAGACTGTGACAACCCTGTGTCTGTGCCCAGGGGCTCAGGAACGAGCTGCTTTCTCCTGTGCTGCCACTGCCACATCCCTGAGGGCTCAGGTGGCTCCTGCAGAGCTCTGAGGACTCCCAGGGCACACCTGGATGGGTGCAAATATGTGGGCTCACACTGAGAGGAAATCACTACTAAAAGGGAGAATCCCACAACTGCAGCTGCTGTGGGTCAAGCCCCAGGGCTCCCTCCATCCCTCCATCATGAAAGATAAAGTGGCTTCCAAATTCTTAGCAAACACAGTAGTGATTTGTCATTTACTCTGCATTTATTAATTTCTTTAGAGCTAATGCAAAGCTTTGGAAGCAAATTAATAATGACACGTCCCCCTACATCTAAATGACTGCTATCATTATTTAAAGAGGAAGAAATGAATGAGGGAAAACTGGGAAGTGCAGCGTGCTGAGCTGGCACAGATTTAGGCAATCTTCCCCTTGCAGTGATGCTCCCTTTAAAGCACATCTTGTTCTTTCAATCCTAGACTTCTCTTGGGTATCAAATGCCAGCTGTGTGTATCAGTTCTGTGGCAGGTTCAACATGACATTTACCAAGCAAAGTGCCAAGAATAAGAAGATCAATAAACAAAGCAAAGTTAGGACCTATGGCTGGCTGAAGATAGATCCCTTCCTTGGAAATAACTGAAGATTTGTGTTTGGGTAAGAAGGGGGCTTGGCTTTTTTTCATTCCTCTTGTTATTTCTCAAAAAAAAAAGTAAAAGGGGGACTTACCACCTTTGACATACATTTGATCATTTCAAAGTAGAAAATTAAGGAGAGAAAACCAAATCCCCGCGTAAAGGAATATTAATCTAGTCAGAATGCTTCAACCTTGATGGGTAACTAAATAAAGCCATTTTTGATGAAAAGCTGCTGATGTACAAAGAGAATAAATCCAGCCAGGCTAGAGCAGGAGCCTCTGTGGAAAGCCAATATTTTACCTGTTTTAGGTTTGTCTCGCATCGGTGTCATGTACCCATCCTCATCCAGCTCTCCCCGCACGACCCGCTCGGGAATGAAGACGGTGGGGTCGGCGCTGTACCTCTGGGTGCTGCTGTCCTCTTTTGCCAGGGTTGCCACCTGTTTCTGCATCGTGCCATTGCAGCAAGTGTCTTCAAAGATCTCTGCTGTGGCCCCTTGAGCGGCTGGGGCCTCTGGAATGATGCAGCCTGGAGCCCTGTACGGCATCGGCACCTCGGCAGCGTAGCCACCATCCCGGTATACAAACTGGTTCTGTAGGCAGAGAGAGAGCACAGCTCAGTGGGAAAGGAGGCTCCCAAGGGGAGAAGCTTCAGCAGCAAGCCATGCCTGTGCCTCCTGTGCCTGCCCTGCCCATCCTGCGCCTCCAGGCTTTGCTGTGGACCCATGGAGCATCTGTCTGCACAGTGGTGCGCCGTGGGGATGGAAATGGGGTGGGAAAATTTTTTCCTACCGGGCATGTGGAGGCTGGACACACACAGCTGCAAGAGGGGAAGGTGGTGTTTCTTTTATTACTCTGGGAACCTCCCCTGATTGCTGATTAAAGCCCTTTAATCCTCATGTTTGGGAAATCTCCTCCTGACGGGGGATAATCATCTCTGTTTATTCCTGGCTGATACTTTTAGTGTGTCCTGTGGTGAGAATCATGGGGTCACCCACACCATGTGCAATTCTGTCAGGAAGTGCATTTCGGGCTGCTGACCTGGGTTTGTCTTGGCACCTAAATTCAATGGTTCAACAAAACCTATCATTTTGCTTGCCAGCACAAGCATGCAAAGGACTTTCAACATCCTGAGCTATAGATAGGAAGGAAATATGTACAGATTCATCCAAGGCTTTTACCTAAATGCTTTTTCAAGAAAAGTTGTCAGAGTTTTGGGTGTGGATCCCTAGAGTTTGCACACAAATCCAGGCTGAGTCTGGAGATCTTAACTGTTTGATTCCTTATGTATACACTTCATTAGCTATTGGCTTTTGGGTCATTTATGAAAGAAAAAGGAGTTTGAAAAAGAAAAAAAATGTAGTGAAGAAAGGAGGAAAGCCTAAAGGATGAAGGCTGAATGTGAAATACTTACTCCTGACATAGGGGTGTAGGCAGGAGGGCTGTGTCCAATTTCACTCTAATAGAAAGAAAAATGGGTGATGGATACATAATAGGAAGCCACATGAATGAAACAAGTCACATGAGCTGTGTGAGCTAACTGAAACACGCACATCAGTCAGATTTCCTAACCTGAGCCAAAATTCAAATTCAGTCAGGGCAAATGCCCCACCCCCAAAAACAAGCTGTGTCTCACCAGTGTTAGACAGAGCCACTGATCCCACCTGGGCTCACTGCGAGGGAAGGCCATAAAAGAAGATGGAACATAAGACACTTCACCAGATGTTACTTTTTAAAAGGGAACAGACACCAGCAGCACTGAATATAGACTTTGCAAGTTGCTTGTGCAAGAGGATTATTTTGGACAATTGGGAAGGTCTGTTGAATCAGGGAACACCTTGAAAACTGGAACTACTGTGATTACCTCCAAACCCCTCCAGATTTACAGTCTACTTGTAATGACACATGGGCAATGACAGGCTACAATGCAGAATGTGTTAGACAAATGGATAAAAAAATCTCCTGAGCCCGGCAGATGCTACTTTAAAGCCCTCCTGACGGCTCTGAGACACTGCACTGTTGCTTTTTTCTCAACCTGGAAATGAAACTCGAGGTAATTTTAATAAGGAGGTCATATAAGAGCGGATCTTTATTTGAAGGCCTTCAGTGGAAGTTATGAAAGATGTCCACAAAAGCCACACTGGGATGCATCACACCCCTCTCATTTGCATCTCCCTGTTTCCACACAGGGAACTTCCAAGGTTGGTTCACTGATTCTGGATGAAAAAGGGCAGAGCTGTCTTTGAAGTCCTTTCAGTTCACTTCTGTCACTGATGCCTTGATGACAACATAGAAAAGTGTCTTTTACTGATAGGCTTGACTTCTGCACACAGGGCTATAACCCTCTGCCAGTAAAAGTTTAGAAGATCAGCAGCTTAAAAAAATACTAGGATGGCCACATTATTGTGTCTGTGGGCTGTGCTCCATCCTCAGCACAAAAGGCTAAACCTGCCATCCTATCTTTAGGTCCTCTTGGCTGTGAGGATAATATTTAAATCCATACTCTGCAACTATAACAACTCAGCAACAGGCCCTCTTAGCACAGCCCTGTCCCAGGATGTCAGGAGACAATGGACTGCCATTGATGTGTTTGTTGCTATTTTTGCTGACAAGAGCCTCTCCAGTCAGTGACCTGCCAGCTAAGATCACTATAATTGTGTTTTTTCATGCCTCCCCTTTAGTGCTGTACTAAACACATCTGTCTTGCAACAGCCCTTACTGCAGAACCTTGCACGTGGCTCTTCCCCAACACTGCTGCCTGCACATTTTTTTACTTCTTTACTGTTTTTCCCCATGAGCTGATACCCTGTGGCCACTGCTCCATTAAAACAGGAGGCAAAGGAAAAAGCTCTGGTGCCATTTACTTGGCTTGAAAATTTAATACAATTGTTTAAGTGTCCCTAAATGGGCTGGCAATTGCAATGTGAGGTCATAATTTTGCAGGGTTCCAAGATTACCCTCAGACAACTCTTATTGGTCAGGACATGAATCACACTGTGAGAAGAAAATATATTTGGATTTTACCAGGTGAAACATAAATATCTTGTTCTGTATGTGCAATCCAATTTACTTTGTTGATTTTTGGAGGGGGAGGAGTTGTTGTTTTTGCATTTAAAATACTACCTTGAAAAAAACCAGCAGTTTTTCCTTTACTGAAAAGCTCTAGTACTTTGGATTTCTGATCCTAAAAGACTCACCAGAATTATCATCTCTGTCTTTTTGAGATAGACAGAGACCTTAGTGGCTGGTTGCTCAAAGACCTCACTGAATAAGCCTACTTAAGAAAGCTCAGCTTGTACACTAAAAAAAAAATAAAAATAAATGTATACTGGCTCCCTTTTGATGGTTTAATGTGTGTTATATCCATTAACATCCATTGACAGAGGAACTCATCACACTCCAGAAGAAGCCTCACTTTTTTAACTGCCCACAAGCAGCCCTCCTCAGAAATGCCCAAGATTTCATCCTGTACACCACATGATTGAATTTTAGCCAAAAACATGACAGAGCAGAGAAAGAATAAAACCCAAGAAAATGTCTCCTCAGGCCTTTTTCCAAGGCCTTCTGGTATAAATACCAGTGACACATCAGCTGTTATATCAGCCAATGTTTGTATAAAATGAGCCCTGATCAAGGAGTGGTAAATAACATTTCTGTGAATATTGGCTTGTGTTATTGCTTTCTATTCATTAATTTCATTTTCCAATTCCTTGCCTCTAAAATCTCCTAAAGGTAAATATCTCCTTTATAGCAGGGACATAATATTTTCTGGCTGCATCTTAAACTGTAATGAAATCAAAGCCTTATTGGGTCCAGCTCCCTTCCACTGCAGAGCTGGTTTTCCTGGCCACCCACAGAAATGCTGATAGGGTTGCACAATCATTGTTGTTTCTTGCTCTTAAACTCACAGGACTGAAAGATTTTTCTCTGCTAAAGGCAAGTCTTTTTCCAGCATGAATGTACACACATGCTTGAAGCCACTCTGATACTGCCCAAAGTGCATAAAACCCAGTTCCTTCCTCCTCTCCTTCTGCTCTCCTACACAAAAAGTACCAAACACAGGAGTAAAACACTCCAGCCTTCTCACTGGGATGCTGCTCCCCAGTCCTGTTCAGGGTGCTCCATGCCTCAGGCAACCCAGTGCTCACCTGCTTTGAGCAACACCTCTTTGTACCTTTCATCAGTCCTGTGTGCTCCCAGAAACAACTCACTCTCCTCCTTCCCCTGGAAACTCTTCACCTCATTTCAAACCAAGGGAGTGCCCAGCTCCAGTCACCAAACCAAGGCATCGTGATATGTGAGACCTTGCTGCGAGCACCAAAATTTCAGCAGCTCTCCAGGAAGGGTGGCTGATTTATGGGAGTGGATCTGGATAATGTTTTGGGATGGTCTGGTGGGGCTGCAGGCAGAGCACACAGTGCAGCATCCCTCCAGCCCCCGAGCAAACTCCAGCTACATTCCAAGGGAGCAGCCTGGTATTTACAGCTGATCCAAACTGAAATTCAAATAGGAAAGACCATTCCAGGAGAACAGCCACCTCTGCTTGGCTGCAGTGCTGCTTCCAGAGAATTTGCAGATTACTCTGCCCTGCTCCAGACAGCAAACATTTCTGAGATGAAAATCAAAGGAAAAAACACACACCATGAGATCACTGGGTGATGTTAAATAGAAATGGAATGCTGTTCTTATAGTAATTGCTAGAAGGTTTTGCAGACCTCTAGGGGTTTCTGATCCCAGTCCCTGCTCAGAGAAGGGTCCTATATAAAAAGAAAGGATTAGACACCTGCCTGGGCTGTTAAGGTTCAAGCATACCCATCCCTACAGCTCACAGCACCTGACACAAGTCTGGCATTCCTTGGCCATAAGGTTGGGAATCAGGGAATCTTTATGGGAAATGATTCCAGCCCCTTTTCCAGCAGTACCTTTTCTCAGAATGTGTCACATGTTTTAACTTAAATGTTGATTACAAGTATAGAAACAATATAGATATCAGTCTGAATCAAGTGCTTGCTCCGGTCTCCAACAACTGCTCCTTCTACAGTCGAGACACAAAACATCCAGCTTAGATCAGCAAGGGGAAAAAAATAAATAAAAGAAACAAAGATTAAGTATTTTTCTACCCCTAAGCTTTTTCTGGATGGTGTTTGCCAGAGGACAGGACAGAGCTCTGACTCAGCTCCCATGGGCTGCCTGTGTCAGCTGGATATGCCAGCCCATGTCCTGGCAGAATGGTGGATTGAAGACATCCCTGAACCTGCCCAAAGTCAGTGTGGATGTTTCAGTGGCCCCCTGGGTTCAGGTCAGCCCTGACCAACTTCTTAGCTTCAGATAAGTCATCACCACTTTCTCTTGCATAATTTTGTCTCATAACATCTGTGTGTTTTCATACTTGCTAAGTCTTTTAGAGCAGTCCATATGGTAGGGATACCCAAACTGCCTTCTAGGAGTAATTTAGTCTGGACTGTGAACAGTAAATGGCATTTATCAAAAACAAAATCTTGGCATAGTGCTGTGGGAAACATACCTATACACAGCACAAAGTATTTCCTGTGCTGTTACTGGAAAATACCAGATATAAACCATTTATTTTCAG